CACAGTCATTAAAGGCAAGTGTTACTTAAGTCGACTGAGACATCGAATTTATACTTTTAAATAAATGCAGTATTTCATCAGAATATTAACTTGCCAGTTTTGCATACATCGACATCTTTCACTCGTTGTTTAAGTTATATCATAAATATTATAATATGGACATGCATTATATTTCTAAATATATACTACTTAAAAGAACACCCGATTGTTTCATATGACCTATAGATAATCTGTCATGGCTGGTGGGTATTGCAACACAGCCTCCCAACTGTGGGTGTTCTTTAACTTGTTTTGAGTGGTATATAGGTTGAATAAAGTTCAAATACATTTTCTACAAAACAAATACATAAAGGTAGACAACTCTAAATTATTCATATGTCGGTTGTCACAGCGATAAGACCTAAACAATGAAGAAGCGCTCGTAAAATATATTACATTCTACTCCTCAACGCCAGACCAAAACCTCATTCTCGTTTTTCATTCAGTTAAACGGCTGCATTTGTTCGCTCAAAGTTCCTATGTAAGAGCACGTGCATTACGTGACACACGAGCATTTATTCCTTGAACCTTGTGCTTGTCTGTCTTCCAGACCCGACACAATAACTCATAGAGTGAATCTAACTCAAGTCTAGAATGATTTGTCAAATCTGGAATGACTGCATTGTTCTTGGCTCCATTGGGGATTTTACATTTAACTTTGAAGATATATATTTTTAATAAGATAATGATATTTCTAGGACTAAATGTTGGTCTAGCCTTTTGGCGACTATCTGCACGTCGTAGCTGTACGTAAAGGCGGGTGTCTACTTTGCGTGCCTGACTTTATAAGTAATTTGGCGTGTGTGTGTGTGTGTGTGTGTGTGCGCGCGCGTGTGTGTGTGTGCGTGCGTGCGTGCGTGCGTGCGTGCGTGCGTGTTCATAACCCAATCTTAACTTTATACATTATGTTAGTATATATCTTAATTTACCTTATAGCTAAAATGGATAGAATTATCATTAAACCGCCCGCATGTTATCAGAAATGAGCGGGCCATTGTAACTTGATAATGCCTTCATATTGCTTGACGACGGGCCATTATCACGCTTGTTGTAAGGTGACGTCAAAGGATAGGGAACGGTGACGTCACGTTCAATAGTGAACGTCATCTGGTTTGTTCTCTGGCGTTTCCATATTTGTAAAAGTGGGTCAGTGACATTCGTGTTGATTACAGTAAATGTTTCCAAACCGATATTGTTGTTTCTTTTTATTTTATAGCAAATTCCATCCATTTTAGCTATAATAACGGTAACGCTATTTTTCAGGGCATTATCATTTGCAGAAGCCCTTCGTCGGGCAGATAATGGAAGACCTCGGGCTTCTATAAATGATAATGCCCTGAAAAATAGCGTTACCCTTATATTATCCAGATCATGACGTTATAATTTGCTTTTTTATGTTTAGTGTCTCGTAGGCCATACCTGGTCGGATGTCATATTTTATTGTTTGTGTACGTGTTTTAGTATGAAGTGTATATAACATGTGACAATATAATAAACTTATTCTTCTCTGTAAGTATTTCTTTATCACCCATTATATCTTAATCAGTTTCACCTCCCCTTCAGAAAATGCACTGATTGCCACAGCTGTCCTAGAAAAACATAATTTGTCGAATGACGTCAACAATCTTCAGCTATGACGTCGTTTTTAGTGTGACGTCACTCCGACCTTACATCACAATAAGATTCGAATGACGTCAACAATGCTGTCCGGATGACGTAAACAATACACAGATGCGCAAGAAGTGATATTTGCGCTAGTGCACGTACGATTTTTATGAACTCGGTTATGTCTAACCCTTTGGATAATAAATAGAGAATCTCACCTGAGTGTCTTTTGATAAAAGTGGCAAAAATCCTCGGCAAGCCTCGGAATTTTTCCACTTTTATCAACTCGTGTTGATATATTTGACATCAAAAGGCACGAGGGTGAGATTTTATTTATCATCCAACATGATTCTTCAAACTTTTCAGTTTGTAGACAGTAATTAGCAGTGTCTTCAGTGTAAAAAAGTACTGCTAACAGCTTCAGTAGCAGAGCCATTAGTGATGTCATTTGATTGTGACGTCATGGTAACAAGTGACGTCACAATGATCTGCAAAGCATTGTGATGCAATTTAATCCAAGCGATATCTCCTGTGGGAGCCAGTTTTGGATCATTCGTGACCAACTCGTGTTATTCCTGGACAAGCCGAATAGCGACTCGTGCCCCTCTCGTGGCCATTTTGCGACCGGGTTCCGTCTTAGCGCAAACGGGCATACCTAAAACAATTGTCAACTCGTTGTGAAATGGTTCACATATATTTCCCCGTATATTATTTATATTTCAGATGGAATTTAAAGCACATCGAGACATACGGAATTATACAGTATGATTGAACACATTTAACTGTATCTTGGGTTTATTTTTAGATGCAAGACGTATGTAAAATCAAAAATTATATCTGAGGGATTCTTTGTCGATGAACTTGAAATTATACGCGCATTCTGATTGGTTTGTCGTATTTTCGCACATAACATTCATCGATAGGGGGACGAGTCTTCTTGCAGGTTACGGAAAGGGGCGAGTGGTGACGAATGGTTTTGGATGATAAAACGTATTAAGGGGCATTCACACGGTACAACTAGTTGCATAACTAGTTGTTTTTATATGTATAAAGCATGCAAGTATGGACTGGTTTGTGTCCGTTAGCAGCTGACAAATTCATACAAACATTTATTTTAAAAATGTGTTTGTATAACTGAAGAGTCGCACGTGATCACGTGACACGACGTGTTGAGACGATGGTGAGTCGTTCAATGAGTCGACGGGGAGGTTCTATTTCCACTGTGTAGATTACAACTCTTCACGGTATATACAGAAATGTACCTGCGGATATTCCATGTCGTGACCTGAACGCATTTGCTCTTAGTTTCACAAAAGTATAAGCACGCACGCACACACACACACACACACACACACACACACACACACACACACACACACACACACACACACACATATGAATCATGAATGCTAATGAACAGATGTCAGAATTCACTCCACAAAAGCAGAATGTCGATCACAGATGAAAACCTATACAAGTCCCTAGGTCATAAAAGGGTGCGATTTAAAGTTACATGGCTATAATAAATATCGAAATAAAATAATATATGAATACAATTTCAACGAACATCATTAACTTTTTGTTTAAATGTTGAATCTGCGTATGAAATATATATACTATATTTGCGTCCCTCGTACCACACAACTGAGTCCCGATAAAACAGACCCCCGATTCCCGCATACCAAAAGGGGGTTGGCCGCCTCAATTTAACTGCGAAAAACGTTTTTCAAATTCAATTTACTCCATCTTCAGCTTAAATGATTTGAAACATGAAGCGGCTTTGAACGATCAGTTGAACTGAAGCCCCGATTACGTTGGTTGTTAGTTTGTTGTTGTTTAACGCCGCACTCTGCAATATTCCAGCTATATGACGGCGGTCTGTAAATAATCGCGTCTGGACCAGACACTCAAGGATTGACATCATGAGCATCGATCCACGTTGATCACATGACCCACGCTGAATCTTTACATACTTGCACAAGGAAAGATTCCAATTATTTGAAATAATATTTCTAAGAAATGATAATATGTGTGCAAAGAGTTAATAAAAGTGGGGTACACCTTGCATGCACTGAAGTTAAAACCGCTTTCTCGTGTGTACTATCAGGCTCCTCACAGCGATGGCCCGTTCGCGGAGCTCTCTTTATTACTGAGAGTGTAACGAAGGTGTCACGCGCTGGGAAGGAGCTTGGTGTATTATGTTCAAAGGGTGATAACTCCTGCAGCTTTCTTTGTTCAGGGCAGTGGTGATGGATTGCCCTACGACAGTCCAGAATAACCTCACAGAATTATATGCAGTATTGAAACATTATCCTGACTGCATTTGTAATACTTGATAACAGAATCATTTAAAGGACCTAACTAGTTAGAATTCATTCTACGTCTTCTATCGTCCCATTTAGGTCTCAAAGCCTCTAGGGGCGATCGGGTAGCCTAGTGGTTAAAGCGTTCGCCTGTAAAAATTCGAATCGGGACCAGACAATCCAGTGACTGATGATATGACCCTGAGCATCCGATCCATTATGTCGTCTTGTACGTCATGCAAAGGTTGCTGGGGATCAAGTTTAACCCCCAATCCCCATGGTGATTGTTCACAGGAAAGCAACTAAAATATACAACCTAGAGTAGCAGGTGTGTCTCAGCTGTGGTAAACAGTACAAGTGAGTTACCTCGACTTCGCTCCCACGCCAAGCTGACACGCCCTGATATAAAACAGGGGCGGTCGGGTAGCCTAGTGGTTAAGCGTTCGCTCGTCACGCCGAAGACCCGGGTTCGATTCCCGACATGGGTACAATGTGTGAAGCCTATTTCTGGTGTCCCCCGCCGTGATATTGCTGGAATATTGCTAAAAGCGGCGTAAAACCATACTCACTCATTCACTCAGTCAAAGCCTCTAAAGAAAATGCTTTTGAAAGCATGTTCTATACACTACTCAAAAGAAGTTAAAGAAAACACGATTTATGGCAAAACAGATCAACCAAAGCAATATGAAAGAAATGGATGATCTTTAGCTTCTTTTAAGTTGCATGTTTCAGCCTACGGGCCATATTTTCAATATTAATCCTACATAAAAAGAGTCAAGTCTGGACTGGTCCCGGGGTACCGGCCAATCCACTCGACTAACGCTTCGTTTCTGAAAATATACAATTTTGAAAAGGAGCCCCAATGAGATGTGAGATTCCTGTGTAAAAAAACTAGACTTGCTTCATTTAGAGTTATAGCATTACGATAACGGCTGGCCGGTAGGGAAAATAATATAGCTCGGGGACTGTGAGACAGGCTAGACATGACACCCACGGTTCCGTTAGAACGTTGGACGGAGGTGACTTATGAATAAAACTCGTTTAATTATTTAAACAGATTTTATTGACATTTTAATCTAGATTTGAAAAAACACTCTCCAGAAATATATCACGCATATAATTATTAATATAATATTAAACATATGAAATAGAAAATGTATTTACAAATGTAGCATAAATAATGGAGCAATCATATAATGAATCAAATCGACCTCATCATAAAACTAGTGGAATCTTTGGCTTGCGATACTATATTTATTGACTGCTCTAACAAGAATTTCATTTACGCTTCCCGTAGAGTTCACATTACCAAAACAAACTGCATCAACTTTAAATCTTACACAATTTTGTGAGAATTCAGTAAATAATTGAGAACAGAATTTGGTATACAAGAAAATAATGAAAAACATTTTCATTTTCTGAAGCACATGAATTCGCATGATTGGGTATCTCCTAGGAGAAATCGCTTGATATGACCCAAGCGATATCTCCTCCGGTTTTGAGGGGCGGTCGGGTAGCCTGATGGTTAAAGCGTTCGCTCGTCACGCCGAAGACCCGGGTTCGATTCCCGACATGGGCACAATGTGTGAAGCCCATTTCTGGTGTCCCCCGCCGTGATATTGCTGAAATATTGCTAAAAGCGGCGTAAAACCATACTCACTCACTCACTCCTTCGGTTTTGGAGGATAGATTCTATTAAATGCGATATAAATTGGCAATTTCAAAGTATAAGTGTAATTGGACTATCTTTAAGTGAATCCTGCCGTTTAGATATCTCTTTCAGCTCACGGTCATGCTTGTTGGAATTTCGCGACGGTTTCCTGGGACGTTTATTGCCATCATAGCCAAAGGTTCCGAAGCTCTCGCCACGGTCGCTTCTAGTGACTTCATCGCATTTAATGACGTCAGCAATTGTGACGTCATCATATGCTTTTACGTCATCGATTATGACATCATCGGTATTTGTTTTTTCATGTTGTTTTATCTCTATGTCTTCATAGAGATTGTCAGGCGTTAGCTCTAATTGGTTAAAAGATTGTAATTTTTCTTCCCTAACGCTGGGCAGGAAGGGAGTTTGGTGTTCCCGCCCACGTGGGAACGTATCGTATTTCCCTGGCGCTTTGGGCATTGAGACTGCTTTAGATTCTAACTTTTTCTTTACCAGTGTGTTCGTGTATTTCTGTTTATAACGTGAAAACGCTTCCAAGTCTGTCGACTCTTGTATTGTACTGAGGTCGGGGTAGAGTCGAGAAGGGCATGAAGGGACCTTTAACACATGTTCCCGCTCAGTCACCTGCAACACGTCATAATAGTGCTCCGGTGACGTCATCGTGTCTATGACGTCACCATCTGTGGAATAACCCATGTTGTTATATCCAACGGGCGTTTCCGATTTCGTGTCATTGTTGAGAACTTTGATTGGCGCCGTTTCCACTTTGATAACGTTTTGGGACGTAGTTGTGTAGTATTCAATCGTGGGATCTTCACTAACATCGGAATCCTCAAAATCTAGACTTTCCCCAGGCTCAAAATCGGCAAATATTAACTTATGAATATTCTCCGGAGAGTCAGGCAGGCATACCTTCCTGCGGCATATATTCTCGCCTTGTTGTAACCTCGCTCTTGTCGTCAGTACAAACGGATTTTCCAAGCTGTCAGATAACAATAGATCTGGACTTTTCGGCCCCTCCCCTCTCTCGCTAATTCTCTCGCCAAAATTTGGAATAGGCATTCGCTGCCTGTAAATCTCTTCGCTGTTGATGTGCTGCAGAGAAAAGAACCTGTTGCTAAAAGTCGGACGCCCTTGAATAAGGCCAAGACGTTTTTTTCGGAAGGTGAAATTGTCGTCTAGAACCTTTTCTTGAGATGGCATGCAGCTGTAGCCGGAAGCTGGCGGTTTGATGTGCACTCTCAGATCCTCGCGACAACATGGCAGCCCGCAGGTGTGTCCAGGCGGGTCGTGTGCAAAATGAGCGAAATCAGAGTAGTAGACATTGGTGGGCATGTTCTTCAGCTTTAACTTCTGAAACACAATGAAACTAAGGTTTCAAATAATATATATATATATATATATATATATATATATATATATATATATATATATATATAATGAAGAGGTGTAATCACTGTTCCAGAAATGACATTAAAAGGCCATTTACCCCTACCCACCCCACCTCCACCCCCCCCACCCCCACCCCATAACAACAAAATTTAGATAAAATGAATAAATAAAATAAAATATACATTTATATAATAAATATAAAAACTAAACTAAACTAAACTAAACTAAACTAAACTAAACTAAACTTATTAAATTAAATTAAATTAAATTAAATTAAATTAAATTAAATTAAATTAAATTAAATTAAATAATTAATATATAAATGAAATACCTGTAATATTTTTCGTGGCGCAGCTCCCCTCCCCCATAGTAAATGGCTAGTCACAAAATAATGTTCTAAATTTATTCATGGCCACCTAGCCACACCTCACTCCCCCACGCCCCCACTCCCCTACTCCCTTACACCCCTAAAATAAATGCCCAGTCCCTAACCGATATCAAATGTGCCCGACTTCGTGCTTTGCGAACCCTACAATTACCTGACAATGTTCTTGGTACGTTGGTTAAATAATAGACTATTATGTCGTCTTGTACGTCATGCAAAGGTTGCTGGGGATCAAGTTTAACTCCCAATCCCCATGGTGATTGTTCACAGGAAAGCAACTAAAATATACAACCTAGAGTAGCAGGTGTGTCTCAGCTGTGGTAAACAGTACAAGTGAGTTACCTAGGCCTCGCTCCCACGCCAAGCTGACACGCCCTGATATATAACAGGGGCGGTCGGGTAGCCTAGTGGTTAAGCGTTTGCTCGTCACGCCGAAGACCCGGGTTCGATTCCCGACATTGGTACAATGTGTGAAGCCCATTTCTGGTGTCCCCCGCCGTGATATTGCTGGAATATTGCTAAAAGCGGCGTAAAACTCACTCACTCACTGCAAAGGCGGATCAAACATTTTTAACAGGGAGGGGTCCAAAGCTCGCTAGTCCCGGACTCATGTTGAGTCTTAGATTTCCCATCCTCGATAATCAGTGTATTATATTCTCCATTATGAAAAATACTGTGGACACATCACCGCGGCAGCATTTTAAGCCCTTTGCAAAACCGCGGGCCCTAAAATTAACCGTCCAATGAAATCACTCACGTGAGCGAGATACATTCTGTGTAAGTTTCCGGTAGGAGATTGTAGCTGATGAGTCCAAGGCCGCATTTCAAAATGTCACCGTAGGACTACGAATGTCTCAATTACCATACTTTAACATTGACTTGTTCCAACAATACCTTGCGTACCAACAATATACGTACGTAACACAATACCTTAGCGTACCAACAATATCCTTGCCTACCAACAATATACGTACGTAAGACAATACCTTTGCTTACAAACAATACCCTTGCGTACCAACAATATCCTTGCCTACCTAGTCTGTCTTACAGACCCTGATACAAATATATATCAAATACAGCCCATGCAAGTCTATAATGTTTGGCAAGTCTAGATCACTGCAGTATCAGGGTCTCTGAAAATGAAGAGAGTCACTGGGCTCCTTTTTATTATATTTTTTATTAAGATAACTGTAAAACTGTTTTTTTATGTACGATATGTTCATTTCAGAGATTAGATGTTAGTCTATTGCCTACCAACAATACAACAATACCCTTGTGTACCAACAATACCCTTGCGTACCAACAATACCCTTGCCTACCAACAATACAACAATACCCTTGCGTACCAACAATATCCTTGCCTACCAACCCAAACAACAATACCCTTGCGTACCAACAATACCCTTGCGTACCAACAATACCCTTGCGTACCAACAATACCCATGCGTACAAACAATACCCTTGCGTACCAACAATACCCATGCGTACAAACAATACCCTTGCATACCAACAATACCCATGCCTACCAACAATACCCTTGCATACCAACAATACCCTTGCATACCAACAATACCCTTGCATACCAACAATACCAATGCGCACCAACAATACCCTTGCCTACCAAAAATACAATAATAACTTTGCCTACCAACAATACAATAATACCCTTGCCTACCAACAATGCCCTTGCGTTACACAATACCCATGCGTACCAACAATACCTAAACGTACTAACAATATCCTTGCCTACCAACAATACCCTTGCATACCAACAATACCCTTGCATATCAACAATACCCATACGCATCAACAATACCCTTGCGTGCCAACAATATCCTTGCCTACCAACAATACAACAATACCCTTGCATATCAACAATACCCATACGCACCAACAATACCCTTGCCTACCAACAATACCCTAGCCTACCAACAATACAACAATACCCTTGCATACCAACAATTCCCTTGCGTACCAACAATACCCTTGCGTACCAACAATAACCTTGCCTACCAACAATACAACAATACCCTTGCATATCAACAATACCCATACGCATCAACAATACCCTTGCGTGCCAACAATATCCTTGCCTACCAACAATACAACAATACCCTTGCATATCAACAATACCCATACGCACCAACAATACCCTTGCGTACCAACAATAACCTTGCCTACCAACAATACAACAATACCCTTGCCTACCAACAATATCCTTGCCTACCAACAATACAACAATACCCTTGCGTACCAGCAATACCCTTGCGTACCAACAATACCCATGCGTACCAACAATACTCTTGCATACCAACAATACCCATGCCTACCAACAATACCCTTGCATACCAACAATACCCTTGCATACCAACAATACCCTTGCATACCAACAATACCAATGCGCACCAACAATACCCTTGCCCACCAAAAATACAATAATAACTTTGCCTACCAACAATACAATAATACCCTTGCCTACCAACAATGCCCTTGCGTTACACAATACCCATGCGTACCAACAATACCTAAACGTACTAACAATATCCTTGCCTACCAACAATACAATAATACTCTTGCCTACCAACAATGCCCTTGCGTTACACAATACCCATGCGTATCAAAAATACCTAAACGTACTAACAATATCCTTGCCTACCAACAATACAACAATACCCTTGCATATCAACAATACCCATACGCATCAACAAAACCCTTGCGTGCCAACAATATCCTTGCCTACCAACAATACCCTTGCCTACCAACAATACCCTAGCCTACCAACAATACAACAATACCCTTGCGTACCAACAATACCCATGCATACCAACAATACTCTTGCCTACCAACAATACCTTAGCCTACCAACAATACAACAATACCCTTGCATACCAACAATACCCTTGCATACCAACGATATCCTTGCCTACCAACAATACCCTTGCCTACCAACAATGCCCTTGCGTTACACAATACCCATGCGTACCAACAATACCCTTGCCTACCAACAATACAATAATTCCCTTGCCTACCAACAATACAATGATACCTTGCCTACCAACAATACAATAATACCCTTGCCTACCAACAATGCCCTTGCGACAATACCTATGCGTACCAACAATACCCTTGCCTACCAACAATACAATAATACCCATGCGTACCAACAATACAATGATACCCTTGCCTACCAACAATACAATAATACCCATGCCTACCAACAATACCCTTCCGTAACACAATACCCATGCGTACCAGCAATACCCGTGGGTACCAACAATACCCTTGCATAACGGGGCCCTGTATGTATCATAAATGGAATGGAGATATACTACTCTAGGTGGGGGCACGGGTGGCCCAGTCGTCTCGATTGGGGGTGGATTCAGATTCATCAAATAGAACCATTTTGTTTGTCAGATCAGTGGAATTGTTTGGTATCATTAATTATGTTATTTTTGCAGTGACTTACGTGCTAGTTCCACACATGGCACCAGGTCGGATCGCGGGATACAGCGTGTCTCAGAGTCGTGAAATTGCTTCTAAAAGAAGCGCCAGTAAAATATACTACGGGTCTCCACAATCGAGGTCAGGTGAGGTGAAATTGGGTTTAACGTCGCGTCCAAGATTATTGCACTTATATAGCGACGTGCATGTACGTGTGTGTGTTTGTATGGCTGCTTGTACTAGTCCGGACTGATGCCGATTTATAGTGCTAGCACACTGAGATACCATGCCGCAGTTTAACATGAATACCCCACTCAGACACAGTATACTGACTCCGAGCCGACCAGTCCTTGTTTTAGCCCCGTAATGCCGAGCGCCAGACAGGGTAACAACAAGTACCATCTTTTAACGTCACTCTAGCTAGGATAGGCTCATTTTTCTATTTATCCGTTAGTGTTAAAAAACATCTTGATCCTCCCAAGAAGAAAATAGTTTTAATGAAACAACTGAAAAGGTTTTAATAATCCTTCCAAAAGTCTTCTTCAATTTTTATGCCCTTTCACTTTTATTTCATTTTTTTCATTCCGCTACAATGAAGCAATTTGTTTCTTTTCAACATTTCATCACTTAAACGATTTTTCCCTTGGGTAGTTCATGCTTCTCTTTGATAATAACAATAATCATATTATTATAAGTATATGTCGTGATAGGCAACTGTGCTTATCGTAAGACGCGACAAATGGATCGGGTGGTCAGTCTCGCTGACTTAGGTGATGCATGTCATTGTATCCCAATTGCATAGATTGATGCTCATGACGTCTATCACCGGATTGTCTGGTCCAGACTCGTATATTTACAGACCGCCATCATATATCTGAAATATTCCTGAGTGCGGCATTAAGCAACAAACATAATAATAATAATAATAATAATAATAATAATAATAATAATAATAATAAATCTCCAAATGAATTGAAATCAAAATGAAAAACTTGAATGTTTAACACTATATATACTTCCAAAAGGTTTGTCAATTATTTTTCATGACATTGTCCCGAATTGTTACATATTAAAACCAATATTAACATTCACATGCAATCATGCACTAAAAACATGCGGTGAGGAGGCAAGTAACATTCACGTGCAAGTCATAGCGCATGCATAAATCCCATCGTCATGGCAACCAGTCAACTTCCGGTGGCAAGGAACACGTGTCAGTCACTGCAAACAATATTTTTGAGTGGCTGTGAACTGTAACGGAGTATCAACTACTCGTTAGTCAAGGACTGAAAACTACTAACAAATTAATAAGTCACACAAACAGTATCTATATGTTCATTGGGTCAGTAAAAGAAATAGGTTGGTTGCGTGTTGGGTCGGTTATTCACATTCCGTTGAAAGCTACAGTTGTTGGTAGTAGGTAAACTGGTACCGTATTCGACCTAATAAGCGCCCACAGCGATATTTGCTAATATATTGGCCAGTGAACAATCCCAATTAGCACCTCTTTCAAATCCTCAATGTACACAGGACTTATTTATCCGTGTATAATACTCACTCGTGTGTTATATGCACCCCATATCATGGGCATTTAAATTCTGGAAAAATATACCTGTCGTGTCTAATACGCACAGACTTTTCTTTTGTATCATATCAGGCTGTCAGCCTAAACCATGAAATTGACGATCTTTTAACTATTTTTTTCACCCAAATTTTATTCTAATAAGAGCCCCCTATTTCTAATTTTGAGAGTGCCCTGGGCACTTATTATGTCAAATACGGTATTTGATTTTCAAAAGTAGTCAATTTTGTAGTAGGTTTTAATTCTTCAAATTATTATGTAGGGGAAAACAAAATTACGTGAAAACTGAAATTTTTATCATTGTGGTGAATTGAGATGTTTTACACTCAGTTGTAATACACACGACCTGAAGTTTCACTGGTAGTGCTCACAAGAAACTGCTTCGTCGATTTATCAAATAGTTTCATATTTATTTTGATAATAAATTGGACAAAACTTTCAAAATTGTGTTGTTTCAGATCACGTCTTAATGCCATTGCATTCTTATCACAGGTAAAAGCATTGAAAACGTGTTTGCCAAACAGACATGTCAAGTCTGGCTTTATCTTGAGTGGAAACAAAATGGGCATGGAGAGTTGATTAAGATGTAGAAATACCGTATTCACCATATTACGCTCCCTTTGCCCCCAAAAGCACCCCCTGACTAACCTGTAACCATCTATACAAGAACCCACTACAACGACCAATAATTTACATGACAGTCCATACTTGATTGTGTATTTTGCAGATATTTACAGAAAACTTCCATTCTAACATTTAGAATAATTGATTTTGGAACTAAGTATGATTACTGTAGCTCAATCTCCAACAACAAATTTAACTCATTGTGAAAGGTTCTGATACATCCCTTTTTTCATCACAGCAAATTCGGTAATAAATCTGTGTTTGTATACTACATGTACTCAAAAAGAAGTTAAAGAACATCCTATTTTTTTCATATGACTATAGTTAATCTATCATGACCGACTAACAAGTAATATGAAAAACTAGTGTTCTTTAACTTCTCTTGTGTAGTATATAAGAAACGTTCTTGTAGCAGGTGAGGTGAAATTGGTTTAACGTTGCGTCCAAGATTATTGCACTTATATAGCGACGTGCATGCACGTGTGTGTGTGTGTGTGTGTGTGTGTGTGTGTGGCTGCTTGTAGTAGTCCAGACTGATGCCGATTTATAGTGCTAGCCCACTGAGATTGAGATACCATGCCGCAGTTTAACATGAATACCCCACTCAGACACAGTATACTGACTCTGAGCCGACCAGCGACCAGTCCTTGTTTTAGCCCCTTAATGCCGAGCGCCAGACAGGGTAACAACAAGTACCATCTTTTAACGTCCTTTGGTATGACGCGGTCGGGGATCGAACCCCGGACCTTCCGCTCTCCGGGCGGACGTTCTACCACTAGACCACGGAGGCGGTCCTCTTGTAGCAGAAGGACGATGTTAATGTCAGAAGCAGGATGCAGGAAGTATTCTCAGTGCTTGCTCAGCACTTTTGTTGAGTGAGGGTAAAATATCAAAATTGGGGAAATTAGTAAAATCCCAGGTCTGTTATATGAATCTAAGTCAGGCACATGCTTCAACACGAGGTATCCAGACTTGAGTTGGGTAGTAACGGACATAAAAATGCAAAATAAACCAGAATCTCGTCACTTGAAAATCGGCACTCCAAAAACCAAGTAATGAGTCATCAATTACCCACAACACTGAAAAAACAAAATACACTACAAGTCACATGATCAAAAACTGCGTACTAACATGTCACATGACCTAGGTGTAATCTGTGTCTTTCTTCTGACGGTCAGGCCATTTCAACGATCAGCGGCAATCCGGCAGGCGTGGAAAAGTACACAAAACACATGAGTATGTATGAAGCAGGGATCAGGTGTCGAGGCAGACTGGAAACAGTCTCTTGTTTGAATATAAATTGAAAAAAAAATACATAAAAAGGCCAAGATATTATTTCCTCGTCCCTGGTGAGTTCCACATGCATGAAAACCCCTGGAAACAAATATTGTCACTTTTAAAAAGAAGTGTCAGTTTTTAATTGTTTTTCCTACATTTTGTTTGTTATAGGTAACATGAGGTGACTTGAGACATTGTTACATGTAACATGAGTGAGTGAGTGAGTGTGGTTTTACGCCGCTTTTAGCAATATTCCAGCAATATCACGGCAGGGGACACCAGAAATGGGCTTCACACATTGTACCCATGTCGGGAATGGAACCTGGGTCTTCGGCGAGACGAGCGAACGCTTTAACCACTAGGCTACCCGACCGCCCCCCATGTAACATGAAGACTGCCCCCCATGTAACATGAAGACTGCCCCAGTATGTAGAAGAGTGTGACGTTTGACAAAAGGAGAGATAATTTGTGTTGGGTCTATGATGCATTGTGCAATACAGGCCCACAAGCTATGACAAAGGTATAGGAGTTACGATTGATTTATCATCCCAAACTGGCTCCCGTTGGAGATATCGCTTGTGTGAGATCAAACGATATGTACATTGTAGATATTGCTGCAATGGAATTGCATCACAATGCTTTGCAGATCATTGTGACGTCATTGGCTCTGCTACTGAAGCTGTTAGCAGTACCTTTTAACCTTAAGACACTGCTTATTACTGTCTACAAACTGAAAAAGTTGGAAGAATGATGATTACAACGATCATCTCTGTTAAAATATGAGAGTTAGGATCTTCTTAGCGCTATAATTATTCCAAATCTATGATAAGATATGAAGACTTCAAGCATCTTAGCGCTATGGCGATTATAAGTTTACGTTAATGTATGGGAGTTACGATCTTCTTAGCGCTATAACGATCATCTCTGTTAAAGTATGGGAGTTACGATCTTCTCAGCGCTATAATTATTGCAAATCGATGATAAGATATGAGACTACAAGCATCTTAGCGCTATGGCGATTATAAGTTTATGTTAATGTATGGGAGCTACGATCTTCTTAGCGCTATAACGATCAGCGCTATAACGATCATCTATGTTAAAGTATGGGAGCTAGGATCTTCTTAGCGCTATAATTATTGCAAATCGATGATAAGATATGAGACTACAAGCATCTTAGCGCTATGGCGATTATAAGTTTATGTTAATGTATGGGAGTTACGATCTTCTTAGCGCTATAACGATCATCTCTGTTAAAGTATGGGAGTTACGATCTTCTTAGCGCTATAATTATTCCAAATCTGTGATAAGATATGAAGACTACAAGCATCTTAGCACTAGGGCGATCATAAGTTTACGTTAATGTAAGGGAGTTACAATCTTTTTAAAAATGACTACAATGCTACAAAAAAACCTGGACGCACTTCTGATGCATCATTAAGTCGGAGCTTGTCTATCTGGTGTTTCCTCCTGCAAGAACAACAACAAATATGATCTATTGTCGATGATTTTTATTTTATTATTTTGATGATGATGATGTACAATGGTTACTAACCTGCTCATGCACATGCGGATACAACAGCAATGTTGTACACCATGAAACAATGTTGTACACCATGAAACGATGGTGTACACCATGAAACAGTTTAACATCATGAAATCTGTACACATATATACAATGGTGTGGCGACACTACTCGTATCTTACACAAACATGGTGGGAAAATTAAGCATACTAAAACCTGTCAATTAAAATACAGAATTTTTTCAATTCTTTTATAATAAGATCAAACTAATCTTGTAATGATATATACTGAGTACTATTCACAAATAAAACCATATTTTTAATATACAAAGAAATCTAACATAGATCGGTGTTTTAGATCCTTTACCTTTTGTTTTCAATCTAAAGTAACCTTGAACAACATTAAAAGTTTTAATTCAATTCAGATGTAATTTAAATACCAGTATGTAATAATAATAAGTATGCTATCCAGTATTAAAAAAGGTCCACACAATCATATTTCTTAATGGTAAGTGAGTGAGTGAGTGAGTATGGTTTTACGCCGCTTTTAGCAATATTCCAGCAATATCACGGCGGGGGACACCAGAAATGGGCTTCACACATTGTACCCATGTCGGGAATCGAACCCGGGTCTTCGGTGTGACGAGCGAACGCTTTAACCACTAGGCTACCCGACTGCCCCTCTTAATGGTAAGACCTCAACAAAACAGAGGCACTGCTTATCGTATTTTTCCATTTAAAATAGTATATTTTGAAACTGTAACCTTTTTCAATTTTTTAAAAATTCCTGACTGAAAACATATCTTTGCTTACAAAGTGACATACTCCTATTGAAATATAGAAACCAAAGTTGGTTTTGTAATAATAAACTTTGTGATTGTTCCTCGGCAATAGTTATTTGATTTCCTTTCAATTGCTTGCTTTGTTTCCTTGTGTAATATGACACGCAAATATTTGCACCCACCTGGTGGAACATGATGTTCTAGTATTACCTGGCCAGGAGATATCTGTCATATCATTTATCAGAACAGATCAGTGTCACATGTTGATATGTCCAAAACATACGTGGAATTTCAGGATATATAAACAAAAGGGCGGTGCTGAACTTTTTCCCAGGTGTATAAATGACCTATTTCTTACAGGTGCTTCAGATGGGCGAGGCACTCGTTTTGCATAATGAACGATGTAAAGGTGTACAATATTTGCATATGTCCAATTTTGACAAAAGAATTTTAGAAAAGTCAAACTTGCCTGTTGCATCGCTAGCTTTCAGTAGTTGGACGGAAGAAGCATGCATATTACTCCTAGCAACTACGTAATTTTACTTACTTTCTAACTTAAATACACAGTAAGCACCTTCAAATTTCTGACAAATTATTATTTGGCAGTAAAATTTGTAAAATGTCACATAAAAAAAAAAATCATAACACATTTTCCCACACATAAAATAATATCATCGGTAAAAAACGTTTTATCACAAATCCATATGTCTTTCAAACAAATATCTATAATCGAAACAATCTTTTCAAAATTTCATTTCAAACATTTCACATTTGAATAAAGTTTGAATCAAAAAGAAAGGTTTTGTTAAAAGTTGATATATTATATGTGATATTCTTAAAGGGGCGATGTATGGGAAATAATTGACCTGGACTGGTTACACACATATATAACACATCCGAGCACTATAGATCTGAACAACAATCTCACAGACACAGCTCATTCTCCCACTATGTACAGCCACTGTTACTGATTTCACTCATTTGAATAAACAAGTTCAGTAAAATCTGTAAAAAACAATAATGAGATCTCCAAAGTACATGCTAGTATATCTGCCCACGTGTGTCTGTTTGAGTACCTTTTCTCACGAGTTGTGGGGCTATTTAAACTTCCGTCACTTCTCTTATTATCATTTAATTTATCTGGCATTTTAGACTTTCTTTATCAGTGAACACTGAGTGGACTAAGGACTTTAACTTCGTTATTCTCTCAATGTGGCCTTTCAGAACAGATGCTGGCACCCAGCAGCAAATGGGTACCCGGTAGGATGAGATGGTAACTGTGACCATTAACTTTCTAGCCTCACAGGCAGCTTGTGTTGTATACTCCCCAGGGAGCTGAGAATGAGAAATCAAGAGCTTGGATTTGTGAGCTTAACAAGCGGACTGCTGTTATTATTATTATTATTATTATTATTATCAAGAAAAGAATAGGGTACCAGCATCTGAAAAAATAGAAATCCGCAAGCCAACATCGTCTTTCCTTCTTAATTCTTATATTATCTTATATACCTATTGTGCTAAATCATTTCGCAAAAAAGCTTGAAATTCTCTGTATCATATCAAAGCCAAACCTTGTTTTCCATCTTGATGCTTCACCAAGCCCAAAACTCTAAAGGAAAGTTCACATACAACATCTTAAAGAAGTTGAAACGATCCTTGACAAAAAGTAATTTGAATGTCTGATGTAAGTTCTCAAATGTCTACATGAGATGATCACCGTGCAGCGAGAATATTTTCAGGCGTACAAAATTGCATTCTGGGACCTCTCCAAATGTCATCGCCCCAACGATGCCGGACAATTAAGTTTGTGTGCTTGCTGCCAACAGGGGCTGATTATGTTATCTTATCATATACTCATAATTAACAAAATAAACATGCTTCAAACTTTTAATGAACTTGCACCTAAAAGCAAATTTCCTTCTAAAATAATGAAAATATCAATCATATTTCAATCGTAAAATAGCTTCTTCCATAATTCTAAAAATGTTTCAGCAAAAACTTAAAATGAATGAATGTGAATATTCAACAAGAACAAGTTGTAACAACAGCCATACTGCAGCTTCACAAGCATGAGGTGATACATGATACACATCAAGATATACTGACCTAACATATGTTCTTTGGGTAGCAAAAACAGTCCACAGTAGTCAGGACTTTCATACAAACCTATCATAGCTGTGCAGCTATCGTAACTGTTCAGCTTCCATTATTCCATATCGTAATTGTTTAGCTGTTGTAACTCTGAAGCTGTAGAAACTGGAGCTATCGTAACTGTGCAGCTATCGTAACTCTGTATCGTAATTGTTTAGCTGTCGTAACTCTGAAGCTGTAGTAACTGCAGCTATCGTAACTGTGCAGCTATCGTAACTCTGTATCGTAATTCTTTAGCTGTCGTAACTCTGACGCTGTAATAAGTGGAGCTATCGTAACTGTGCAGCTATCGTAACTCTGTATCGTAATTCTTTAGCTGTCGTAACTCTGACGCTGTAGTAAGTGGAGCTATCGTAACTGTGCAGCTATCATAACTCTGTATCGTAATTCTTTAGCTGTCGTAACTCTGAAGCTGTAGAAACTGGAGCTATCGTAACTGTGCAGCTATCGTAACTCTGTATCGTAATAGTTTAGCTGTCGTAACTCTGAAGCTGTAGTAAGTGGAGCTATCGTAACTGTGCAGCTATCGTAACTCTGTATCGTAATAGTTTAGCTGTCGTAACTCTGAAGCAAGTAAAATCTGTGACTGTATCCATTTTTGCAGAACCTATTTCAAAATGTCGTCTTAATCTATGACCACTGTAAGTCTAAATTTATTAAGTTTACGTGTCTCTACCCCTTTGTGAAATCAATATTACAAAGTAGTCTCACTGCTACAACTGTCGTAAATGTGTTGATTTTCAAGACTTGCGAAGAGCGTAGCACGACTGTCATAACTCCTCTTTCTTTCTCAGCCCTACAGTAGTGTTCAGATAGTGTAAGAACCAAGTTGAAGTACGCTCTCCACTGCTCACTGCTCTCAAAAAACTTCTGAAACTAGCGTCACTCTTTGGCCTCTTCTTAAACATCGTAACACAGTGAATATGTTAATTTTCCTTGTAGTGACCTTGACTTACACTAAGTGATCTTAGAGTTACGTATATTGTAACAGGCACCTTTGCCACTTCACAAAGCAGTCACAGCACTACGTGAAGAACAGTAAAGAATGAGAGTTACGATCATCTTAGTGCTAAGATCACTTTGCTGAAGCCAGCCATGGGCCTGATATCTGCACATGTGTTTGTTGAAGAATTGGAGCGACGACAGTTGTAGAGAGAAGATCACTTTGTAAAACTGGACCCTTGCCTCGATCAAATCCTAATGTATTTACACATGTTAAAACATCCAGCTGTTTGATGCCATATTTTCAAAGTATCATAACGTTTTGTCAACATAGTACATGTTGCATCCCTCAAAATGCAAGTCGATACAAATTACTTTCCATCTCATAAATAAGAAATAATACAACGGTGAATGGTTATACTCTTCAATTTGAATAATCATTCCCCAAATTTGGATGATACCAAATATGGTATATTCAATTCCATCCAATCACTGCTGCATCTTTGGGTAATTGTGTGTGGAATAAATCAGGTATAAAACACTTGATTTTACTTATCAAAAAATGAAAAACTTTTTTCGTTTGGGCTTTGGTCTCAAAACAGCTGAAAAATGTTTTATTAAATACAAATTGTTCGTAGAAATATTTGTTCTCTTGCATGTATTATGCTGTAGCTCTACTATACAATTATACTACCAGCCTACAACTAATCTTCAGTATATGCAGAAACATACAGTCTGGGATTTTGATTATTGTACACATATTAAATGCTGAACCTGAGATTAAAAGTAATACACTTACTGCCATGTACATCTGGGCCCACTTGCACAAAGCGATCTTAGCGCTAAGACTATTGTAAGCCTATGCTAAAGTATGGGAGTTATGATCATCTTAGCGCTAAGATCGCTTTGTGCAAGTGAGCCCTGCACTCCTTTCAAATATTTCTTCTTATACTACTCAAAAGAAGTCAAAGAACAACCCTTTTTTTCCTCATGACAACAGCTAAAGCCATGGCCATAATCTAACGTGGTCGCTATCCACGGGGGATACAATACTGTGTATTTTGTAATGTTGGTAATTGAAAATCGCTGTCCAGATCCGGACACCAAATGAAGCATCAGTAGAACATATTTTGTTTATGTCAATATCGTCCAGTTGGCAAGGTTTCTGGATTAGCAGGGTTTCACTGTATTCAGGTGTTCTGGATCTTCTTTTGAGTAGTATATATCTAAACAGGAAGTCCACAAGGACCAAGACGTGCAGGATTCAGTTTTCAGTAGTTGTAAGGTAAGCAAGACGACCTTACGTTGAGCCTCTTCCATACCTACATTCACATGACACAAGCAACAATAATTATAAGTAACGGGATCGGTGGTTTCTGCTTAATTTAGATCAGCCACCACAGCGCCACACAAACTTGATTCTGGGAAAGCACCATATATAAACAGTAGGAGCTTTAGCTCTGTTTTGTCCGTTTTTATATAAAAATAATAATCATGTAATGCTGAGTGGCAGCGTCGGTTCCTCAGAGATATGTCTGCACTGTTAAACATCTTGCATCTGAACCATGTTCGGTGGTCCTATAATCGTCTGTTTTCACCAAACACAACTGTCTGTTCAGATATGTACCATACCAGCCCTCATTTAGGGTCAAGGTCATATGGTATCAAGGTCAAGGTCAGAAGACCAATCAGGGTCAAAGTTCGAACTTGGTGCAGCAAATAGGACTTCATGGTGCAGTTGTACACAGTCTGAAGGTCATTCCATACAAAGGTCACCACAGGGGTCAAGGACACAAGCATGCACACAGTTTGAGAATCACAATACATGGTCACTGTTCCACAAAGGTCAGATAGTTTCTGGTTGCAGCCACATTGGAAGCACAAGAGCACGGAAGTGCGATCACAGTTATCCCCCCTTGGCAGCGACGCCCACAGAGAGGGGAGTTCTCTTTTGTCTTATCACACACACATGAGGTACGAGGTTTTGACCCACAAAGCATGAGAGGCAAAAGACTGACCTACTCTGCATGATGTCATGCATTTCAGTGTGACTTTTCAACCAATCAGGCTTGAGGACAAGCTCTAGTGAAGGGTGAGGAGTGTTGGGATCCACCAATAGTACACAGGACAGTTTCAGACAACGACTTCATATATGACCTTTTTGGGTTTGTTGGGGTCTGGTGTGGAATATCCGCTCTCTTGGCCTGACTGAAGACTGCCCTCTTTCTTCTCCTCCAAATCCATGTACTTCTCCTTTGTGGGACTGCGTGGAATACCGTGGAACTGCAGCTCTGGAACAGACATCCCACAATGACTATCTAATAATCACAGGTATCAAATGATCACTGACTTCCAATAATCATAGGTATCAAATGATCACGGACATCCAATAATCACAGGTATCAAATGATCACAGACATCCAATAATCACAGGTATCAAATTATCACGGACATCCAATAATCACAGGTATCAAATGATCACGGAATCAAATAAACACGGGTATTAAATCATGTGTAAAAAATAATCACAGGTATCAAACAAACTTTTTGTAGCCAGACAGTGTAATTACATGATGATTTTGCGTACTTCAGTATGGATTTGTTGACATGTTTTTTCCAGTGTTACGTGCTCACGGTAATATCTTTCCATGGGGGAAAAAACCCATCATAACTCATTATTTCATGTATAATGCGCACCACTTCTACACAGCTGTGTTGTTTTTTTTTAAAAAGTGCGCACTATACTCAAGAAAATATGGTAACAATTCTTCTTAAATATTTGAGTATCTTACCTCCTGGCCTGCTACCTTTGCTGTTGTCTGAAAAACATGCAAAATCACAAATAAAATACTTGAAACTTTAAAAATAACCACATACAAAAAAACAGTCAACACTCAAACATTATTATGATCAGTTAAAATTGCAAAGAATAATTCAGAAAAATATTTTAAAATCGAAGCAAGGCTGATTTCCCCCAAAACATATTGAGTGGTTAGGAAAATAGCTTTGCATATTCTGAAATGAGACAATGTTTAAGGGAGGTAGTATTTCTCAAAACAGTTTACATGATAAAACCACAAAAGCACTGACTATGTATGCTAGTGCATCAAACAAATACTGGAGGCTATATTTAAACAACTCACACCAAAACACAACTTCACAAATTTCAAGACAGACAAAACAAACTCGACATACATATATATATATACTATTGTAATGTGCTCCAAGTAATGAGACTCGGTGAAATACAAAGTTATAGTGCGTAGCTAAAAAGTTGTGCAATCTTGTAAACAGTTTTCAAAATAAGACTTGAACCATGACAAAAAAAATTATCTAAAAAATAAAGTTGGAAACTCATCTAGTTTTAGATGACCGTATTATGTTTTATCTTATTTGAATTAATGTTTCCTGTTGTAATCTACTGGAGCACTCTACAATAGGTATCACATACTCCAAACATATTTTGAGAAAGGGATTCATGTTTTTGCTTAAGTTTTTTTATAAAAATATAATTTAAAAAAAAACAAACAAAATAAAATCTCGATACATACATTTTTCTTCAATGTTATATAGGCTTTAAGGTATTTTTGAAAATAATACTTATGGAAAATGTTTAAATTGTTCAAAAAGAAGTTAAATAAATGAAATAAAAACTTCCTCTCCCCACAAAGGTAGCACAAAATTTGATGTTTGAGAAGGTAAGAAAAGATAAAGATGACATATATTTCTGTAACCATGGTAACCTCTTTCTCAAATTAAGTTTTCAATTTTCTCTCCAATTCTCTAATGCTGAAATTTTCATACTTTCATTTCTTCGATTCATTTCGTTTTCAAATATCTGTTTCTCTTTCTGTGAATCGTACGACGTGTCATGTGGGATATTGCCATTTGGTCGTAGATGTCCTTCCTGATAAGGTAAGTACGCATTTCTCTTCAGTTCCAGTGGCCCATCTGGTGTTGAGAAATATTTAAGTATAATTTCATTTTTATTTTTTATTTTAATTAGTCATAGTAGTCAGACAGGACGTGATAGATGGATGCAGCAACCCATTCCACCCTTTTATCCAAAACTGGACTCTTCCATCTTTTGATGGAGGTGGTACTAAGAAGGATTTAGGGGTAGTCAGGTTGGGAGAGAGAAGAGAAATTTCTACCACAGATAACTCAACTACGTTATAGAACATCGCACTTAGCATGCTCATGCAAAATACTTGACATAGATGTGCTTTTATAACTTTCATTTGCAAAGTAAAATTCGTATGATTAACCATGAAAAAACAATTAATGAGTCGGCAATTATTTCACTTCCAAGTACAAGATTCATGTTGTTAGTAAATCCATGCAGATTAGATCTGGAAGTTTGTTGAAATGTTGTTTGATTTGTAGAAGGTTACATGTTATATTCTTAGAATTTGATATAGATAAAACAGAGAAGATTATAAGAGTGAGTTATCTCCCTTGGCATGTGTATATCTTGCTACTTCTTGCAACCAACACCTCTTTTGATAACTGCCATCACCAGTGATGTTAAAACTTGTTAAATCTACAGACAAAATCCTACTTTTACCATGTCCCAGCACAAAACTTAACAGTCTTGCTGTGCATTACACCCATGTCGATCAAGGGAGATAACTCTGTCTAAACTAGCATGCAATACTTACAACCGTTATTAATATTAGTCAGAGAAGAATCACGTGCAAAAGCTCCATTTATGCTAGGGTCATCCAACTCGAGCACATCCAACTGTGTCATACCTGTGTTGTCGTATGCTTGGGGCGTTTTTTGTGAATTTGTTACGCTACCATTAATTGGTTGGGGTCTGCGCCTGAAATAAGATTCATGGAGATTAAGGAACGAGTCTTGCTAGACCTGTTTGTACACATGCAACAAGTACGCGGGCTTTGTGTTAATATTCGATGGAGATTCCCGCACCTGTATTACAGCCTTTGGTTCACTCACGACATGATGCCTGGTGACATCGTTTTTTCTGTCAACACAACTGGTGTCAAAACATTATTACTACCCAGCATCAAGCATTCCCACAGACCCCCGGGGAGTGGTGGGGTAGCAATGTGGTTAAAGCGTTTGCTCGTCGCATGATGGATCCAGGTTCGATTCCCAACATGGGTACATTGTGTGAAGCCCATTTCTGGTGTCCCCTGCCGTGATATTGCTGGAATATTGCTATGTTTCTAGGTTTGTCAGCACCATACCCGTGCTCGTGGGTTTCACCAAAGTGGTAAACGTCTGAGACCTGCATCACTTCGGGCTTTCCTCCCACATTAAGCTGACACGCCGCGATATAACTGGAATACTGTTAAAAGCGCCGTTAAACCCAACACACTCACTCACTCCTCCCACATCAAGCTGACACGCCGTGATATAACTGGAATGCTGTTAAAAGCGGCATTTAACCCAACTCACTCCCTCTTAGAGCCACCTGGTGTCTAGCACCCTTCTAACAGACACCTGGTGCTCAATGCCACATGGGCCAGATACCATGTATGTCATTCGTATTTCAATTTAAGTGTCTTACCAAGTGGTTTGACATCACACAGCTGAATGTGTATTAAATCAAATGCATGCCTTCTGACATAAAACATAGCCAACTTAAACATCAAACTGATTAATTCATATGAGAATGGGAATAAACACTAAGCTGGTCCTTTGTAAATATATTAAACAGAAAACAGACAAAGAGGTACTCACGGAGGATTTTCTGAAGCATAGTCTTTCGCTGAAAAAAAAGAACGAAACAATTAAAAACAATTCAAATGGATGAGAAAAAAATAAATATAATTTTAAATTTTTCTAAACTCACCACCACCAGCATGTTGTCTGGATAACAGCATGTTGGAATATCCGACTGGTCGGGCTGCCATCTTGATGTTTCTAAAAGTTTGTCACTTATTCGTTCAAATCTAGTTCGCAATTTTGTTTATCCATCCCAACACTTAAAGCTTGTATATATTAGCAGTCAATTAATTCTTGCCAGAATGTTTATCCATACACAGACTTAATTCACTGTTAGTTTCTCAAATATTGAGATTTTGTCAATTGACAACTTTCTCCCCTAGGGTAACACACACACAAAATGTCAGCTTAATTTGCGATAAAGAAAATGTCAATCAACGATATTGAGCTCCTGAAATTAATCTAGCTTAATGTCCGAAGTGGTCACATTCAGTCAATATTTGAATTTGTCCAGCACTGATACAAATCTTTGCACTCAAACATAACTTTCATTGGAAAAATGCTCCTTTCCAAGTTTAAAGTTCAACATACAGTCGTCCACAAAACTGTTCAAACTCAGCGTGGGAACACGACAGAAATTAAACTGATACCTCAGGAGTCAACAGTATTGTGTGATGCTATTCGAGAGACAACTGGTTTTAATTGAAAAGAACGTCCTTTGAACATCTGCTTGAACAATAGGTGGTTTTGTCATTGTATTGTCAGCATGTCCTTAAACAAATATTCAGCATTGTTGTAGACCCCATCACCTCCATCATCTTCCTCACCAAAATATAGCCTGTTTCAGATATTGATTGGGTAATTTGACAGTGTTAAACTTTTGACCTTAAGCAGGCTATGAAACTCCCAAAATTTTCAGCCAGACCACAGGACTGGCTAGCTGAAATACTTGCCAGCCCTGACCAAAACCTGCCTGCCCACTATAATCATAGGTTTCTCAGGATAATTTAATTAAAACTTTAAATTGAATTCATTGAACATGAAGTAATGCAAGAAAAGAAATAGCAAACACTTTAAAGGTCAGATTTGTATTTAATATCCTAGAATACATCATGTAAATAATGCTTATCATCGGGAAATATTTAGAATATTTTTACATATGAAATATAACCTGACCGTCGGGCAGGGGGATTTGAAAATCTGGCAGCCCGAGTTGAAATCAACCCGTCTCGGACGGTCAGGCCATAAGGTATTTCGAACACTGCCTTAAGGGTGGACAAGTTTGGAGTATGGGGGGGTGTATTTATATTTGTATCACTATCTCAGCGAGAGAAATACTAAATCGCACATTATACCCGTGTTGGGAATTGAATGCAGGCTTTTTTTGTGATAAGCAAATGCTACGGCACTCACTCGATTCAAAGTTCAGATTTTGAAAACAGACAAGTCTTGAATAATGATGTAGTATTGTCCTCTTTCCTCGTATTAAATATCAGACTGTTTCTCATAAGGAACATAAATTAGTTGAAATTTACATTTTAGCTGACTCAGGATATATTCTACAGAAGCCTTTTTTTCTTTTGGGGGGGATACTATCTTGAAAAGATCCTAAGTGGAAATTTCAAGATACTACTGGTATCTTGAAATTTCAAGATATTAAGTTGAAATTTCAAGATACTAAGTTGAAATGTCAAGATACTAAGTTGAAATTTCAAGATAATAAGTTGAAATTTCAAGATTGTATCGAAAAAAATATAAGAACACATGGCCCTAAAAGGCTTCCGTAATATTCTCATCTTCACCAATGATTATATAAAATAACACAATGGATCAAAAATACCTTTTTGAAACTGACTATACAACTTGTTGAACATTGACTCTCAATATTCAACATCAACACCAAATATTCAAATATTGCAGAATTCCAAATTTTGAGCCTTGGAAAAAAAGCACAACAATCCATTCAAAACAAATCCCATGTCGGTTGCACCACCATCGACACCTCAGCTGACAATGACCAATATATGATGAAATATTGTACTGACAAATTTGGAACTTTGGCTGAAGATGATTAATTTTAGTTTCTTGTGCTTGACACTTTGACCTTGTTGTATATTCTTGTCTTATCTGGACAGTAACACAAAGGGCCCTTAAAGTCAAAGCCTGGATACGGCGTGGGGGATTTAAGGGAATTTAGGGGGGATCAGCTTTCCTGTGTCGGACAATAGCTCAGTCATACTCCCTTCTCTGGGTAAGATAGAAAGCCAGTTTGATTCAGTTCAAGCGTGGTTCAACGATTCTCATCTACCACAAGGATTTGCTGTTTAAATTGAACTTTAAGATAATCAGAATTTCTCTAGAACAAGAAAGTATTTTCTTACAAGTACTTATTACAAAAATGATTATTGATAAAAATAATTGAATTTCTTCTTGTCAAGACTAATGCAATTATTTTATCAAGTTTAATGTTTAATCTTGGGTCTTGACTTAGTGAGCTGCTTGTGCATGGAGATGTGTTTGTTTGAATTGTGATGGTTCTAAAGGGGGGCTTTGTTTCATAGAGAAATATTATCTGTATTTAACAGGGTTTGTTGTCAGTGTTTGTCTGTATCACCTGTTTTGACATTGGTAAATTATTTATGGTCACTATTTACCATGATAAATCATTTGAAGTCACTATTTACCATGGTAAATTATTTGTAGTCACTATTTACCTTGATAAATTATTTATAGTCACTATTTACCATGGTAAATCATTTGTAGTCACTATTTACCATGATAAATCATTTGTAGTCACTATTTACCATGATAAATTATTTGTAGTCACTATTTACCATGGTAAATTATTTATAGTCACTATTTACCTTGATAAATCATTTGTAGTCACTATTTACCATGATAAATCATTTGTAGTCACTATTTACCATGATAAATTATTTGTAGTCACTATTTACCATGGTAAATTATTTGTAGTCACTATTTACCATGATAAATTATTTATAGTCACTATTTACCTTGATAAATTATTTATAGTCACTATTTACCATGGTAAATCATTTGTAGTCACTATTTACCATGATAAATTATTTGTAGTCACTATTTACCATGGTAAATTATTTATAGTCACTATTTACCTTGATAAATCATTTATAGTCACTATTTACCATGGTAAATCATTTGTAGTCACTATTTACCATGATAAATTATTTGTAGTCACTATTTACCATGGTAAATTATTTATAGTCACTATTTACCTTGATAAATCATTTGTAGTCACTATTTACCATGGTAAATTATTTAGTCACTGTTTACCATGGTAAATTATTTAGTCACTGTTTTGTCAGTATTGCCTGTTTTTACCATGGTAAGTGGTTTATAGTCACTTTATAGTCACCCGTATACGGTCAGTATGTATCGTGGACATTTTGTTGTTGTTGTTGTTGTTGTCAGTATTGCCTGTTGTTTTAACGATGGTAATTTAATTATCTATCGTTTGTATTTACCTTGGTTGCGCCTTCTCTTGCAGATAAAACAGACTAGAACTGTCAGGAGGGTGACGATGATGATGGCACACACACAGGCGATGATGATGACGTCACGTTCCGTCAAACCCTGGCTGGGTGGCTGGCCTGCAAGAGGAGAGGGAACATTTAGCATCTCATTAAAAAAAAAGGCATCGTTTAATTTGAGAAAGGTTGTTTTGCTACAAGAGCTGGCAAATCTCTGAAAAAAACACGAATGAATCAAGTAATATTTTCCTGTATCTCATTTCATTAACTGCTGTTTAAACGACATCTGAGGAGACCAAGACTTTGAAATGAAAGCAGTAATCTATTCGTTTGTTATAACCATAGTTTGTTATAACCGTAGTTCATTATAAGCATATATACATCATATACAAAGCAAATACCTAAGACCCAAAAAACAGTTTGTCATATCCGACGGTTCGTTATAAGCGTGTTCGTTATAAACGTAGTTTACTGTACAATACAAAACTACTTTCCAACAGCATGGATGAAAATAATTTACGTTTCTTTTCCTTTGGTAAAACGACTCCAAATTTATTAAAAAAAATATTTAAAATAAATAATCAGCTTTCAAAATTCATCCTAATACTGGACAATATTTAAACATTTATTTGTCTCTATGGTGACAGAGCCCGGAGAGTGGAAGCTCGGGGTTCAATCCCGGTGTACCAAAAGACATTTAAAAATGGTCCTTGTTGTTACCCTGCCTTGCACTCAGCATTGAGGGGATAAAACAAGGACTGGTTGACATGGAGACAATATGATGTGATATGTGGGCTCACACCATAAACAGCTAGTACAAGCTGCCACACAGACATATACATCATTATAGATGTGGAATTATCGGGAATGTAACGTGACACCACATATCATTTCCCATAGATTAACAGATACTACTCCATTTTCAACTAAGCCAAAATTGTTATGGATGATCAACTTCTTTATTACAATTGGGCGACGATTCGGTGTAGATTCCAACACCGTTATCAAGCAAATGATGTTTGATAACGGTGTTAGAATCTACACCGAAACGTCGCCCAATTGTATTAAAGAAGTTGCTCATCCATAACAATTTTGGCTTAGTTACCATTCCAACTTCTAAATGCCACTCAAAGAAGTTACTCCATTTTTGATGGAGATGTTCCCATTATTCACAAAACTGAGTCTCATCAAATGTCAAGTTTCTATTTAGATAACTGAAACGGCTGATTATCCCTATCAGAAGTTGAGTAGTATAAAAGCAAACAATTCTCTGACAGCGGAGTCAGAATCATAACACATGCCTCCCCAAGCCTCGCTTCCAAACCGGTGAGCTTCCAAACCGGTGAGACGGTGAGACATGTGGCGTGAGACATGTGGCGAAAACACAGAACTCCTCACAAATAAACAGTTACCCCAGTATTTATGTTTATTCAAACTTCTGCCACAAGCAGCCAAGTTGTCATGGTAACGGAAACATGACCCGCCCTGACTGATCAAGCCTGGATTCTGGACCTATTCAACCAAATCGAAAGACGTATGACAAATCTCATTCCCGAACCCTTTCCATGCCCACCGAGGACAGAGTACGCATGATTTCATTCACTAGCTGATGATATTTTGATTTTCTTCTGGCGAAGTTCGGCAGTGAATAATTGATGTTTGTCTTCACAGATTTTGCATGATGCTGAGTTTCTCAGCCCCTTGTACACCACACAGGAATCTACAGGGGGAAACAGGATTTCAATAATTCATTTAATTTCTAATCTTATTCTAATTTAGAATCCAGTGTGGGAAAAAGCCACACTCATTTATTCATTGAGGCTGAGGCACTTTTTATGTCCGTCTTGCATGAACGACAGATCGTATTTGTTTACAGTTGAACTTATGCTTATTTGCTATACCCTTTAGGCAGCCTTAAACAATTGTTAGGATAACGCTGTGTTCATAAAACAGTGAAATATGCGAAAAATCAGAAAAATAATGCCTCAATTTTGAAAATAATAAGAGTTTAAGATTGTGATATTTAACAATAATATTTGATAATTATTTTCGTACATAGCTGGAAACTTTCAACCATCAATATACATAACACTGCTGGCCAGACAGCTATGTAGAGTTGAATATTATTGTCTTCTCCCCAAGTCATTGAGCACATACCGCTCCCCACACAACACATTAAATGTCTGTAAAATGCACCTGTGTGACCTCAAAATAACTCTAGCAACAAACGGTCTCCTTGTCTGAGCACCAGTAGATGTAGACACACATACTATACAATAGGCAGGTCCTTTCATAATCTTGAACCTTGAATAATATAATATCCATTTGGAATACAGTTGTGTGAATTGGGGCCCTGTAACCTGGATATATTCCACACATATAAGGCCCTGGAATGGATACAGTATTGATGTATTTGTGTGCTGATCACATGCTAGTATGTATGTTCTTGTTCACGTGGGGGACGGTCTTCAGATGGAACATTCATTCTACCTGCTCTACCATTCTATGGCCATTCACACATACCTATCAAAGTCTGAGGATAATACGATATTGTAATAGGGGTTATGTAATTCAGAGGGTTGCCATGGGAACGGTCGAACAATTATCTTCTGCATCTATACCCCTGCAGGTATTCGCAGGTGTTGGTTTCGGATGCTCTTAACGAGGTTCACACCTGGGTTTACCTGTAACGGGTATTCGTCATTCAGCGTTGTGCAAGGACTCGCATTCAAACCGTCCTCCTCTCATAGTTTTTAAAACTTTATGTTTTGAATTAGAAGAGTACCGACAAATTTACAGAAGGTGAATAAATATCAGCCGTGTCTAAACATTGTTTTGTTTGCAATGTTCCAGCAATATGACAACAGTCTTTAAATAATCGATTCTGGACAAGACAATCCAGTGATTGACATCATGAGCATCGATCCACACAATTGGGATACGATGACATGCATCAACCAAGTCAGCGAGCCCGTATTCCGTTAGTCGCCTCTTACGACAAGCACAGTCGCCTAAAAATTGTAATCTCAAATTATAATCCTCAGTTAATCATAATGCCTACTTCATGTTTTTTACTTTCTTGGATAAACATTTTTTTAAAAACATGACTAGCATTTTATTTTCATCCGCTGAGAACCTTTATCATTGAAAAATGTATTTATTTATTTTCCCCAAAAGTCAAATCAAAAAGTGAGTGTGGCATTCCATTTTCATCAGCAGAAAAATCCCAATCATCCAGCAAGCATTTCATTGATAACAATTCACATCTACCAAATATCAATTTTCATTAGTTGCTAAGCAACAATCACTACGCCCAAGGCTGCCATGTCAACTGGCCCCAGATGTTTCACATTACCCAGTCTTGATACACCCCTGTTGGTCAGATATTGCAACACAATGGAAGACGAACTATCTCTCTATCAATACCTCAAGGCTATTTTCACAGTGAAGTCTGAACAACAGCTCACTGTCGGAGATTATCTTGTTGATTATTTTCTTTCCATGGTACACATGTAGCTATCGTATCAGTCCTTGTGTGTAGTCGCGGTACAATTATAGTACCGGTTGTATGAATCAATATAATTGAATTTACTTCTTGCATCCAAAGTTTTGAGGAATTTTGATGACAAGAAATTACATGCAAATATAAGACATTTGTTTATTTTGGAGACAAATGTTTCGTTTCATTAGGTTTGCGTAATGTAATGCTGAATGTATATACATTTTTCATTCTATCAAAAATTGTTTTCTGCACCTAGAAATAAAGCATTTTTTGGCATTAATCAATTTATTGTGATATTCAGGAGGAGCGATAATAAAAACACACTAGGTATATGCACAGCAAACATTTGACCTTCAAAACCTTTGACCGTAACCTCCCAAATTCCCCAAAGCCACTTGGTTAAGAGTTATCTCCCTTCAAAGGTCAGACACGCGAAAACAACCTGATAAACGAAGCATCTGGTATACGCGAATTAAATCACCTCGGGAACCAAATCACCTCGACTTCATCCAAGCCACTTGCTACTTGCTGGAACAATTAAATCTGCTGTCAATTAGCTGGGATCCTCAGAGACATGGAGCCATGGCCACGCTTCATTGGTCCAGCTGCTTCAAAGACAGAAATGAGTGCAAGCCTTTGCCTGCATTGCTGAATGTTCCGGACATGTAATTTAGAATTCCTGCAGGTGGCACAACACAGGTCCAGCAAATAACACAAGTGTCCAAATATTTTCCTTGCGGAAAATTTTATGTTTTTGGAAATTGTAAGGAAATGTTTGTTTTTTGTTTAACATGTTTAACACAGCACTAAACAATATTCCAGCTGTATGATGGCGGTCTGTATAGAATTAAATCTGGACCAGACAATCCAGGGATTGACAACATGAGCACTGATCTATGAAATTGGGATACAATGAACAAAGTCACAGAGTCTGACCAACTGACCATTGCCTGTTACAACACCACCTGTTAATTGCCTTTTACAACAAGCATGGGTTGCTGAAGACCAATTCTAACCCGGATCTTCACGGGAGACAAGCATGGGTTGCTGAAGACCAATTCTAACCCGGATCTTCACAGGGGAGACAAGCATGGGTTGGTGAAGACCTATTCTAACCCGGATCTTCACAGGAGAGACAAGCATGGGTTGGTGAAGACCTATTCTAACCCGGATCCATAGGGAAATCCCAATGATATTGACTGAACAAATTACTTTAAATTTTCACATTCAATTTCAGTGCAATCAAGATGACTTATTATGATTCTGTGACTGATTTTCTAAATCATCTTGTCATCTTCACTTAAATGTTTCCACTTATTGTTCGTGCAAATTTGATGAGACACAATTTTCTTCCACCTTCAAATGCCAATCACAAATATAGCAACCCAATTCTTGTGAGCCTTGATTAACTGCACAAGGATTTTCACCACACCCTGAGTAATTACAGATTACTGAGAACAAAGTGTGTCCACAACACCAATCAGGGTTGTCTGAATCCCTAGGGAAACACAGCTGCAGACTTAGCATCTTCTATACACAAACAGCCCCCCTTCCCCCCCCCAGTCAAACCCTGCTCTAGGCCTTTGGGGCCATCAAACACTTTGCTTTCAGCCCGGAG